TTGCAGTAGTTTTTGGCACAAAAAAAGATCCCTCACCGCTCAATGGCCCTAAGTGTCGACCATAGGTTAAAATTTGCAGCCCTCCACCGGTAAGTGGTGGCGTCTCCATATGAGTGAAAAATTCTCGAGAAGGACGTTAAACAACAAACAAACCCCGTTCTATATTAAACGTTTAAAATAATATATTCATAATGTACTTACCGCCTGTTATAGGTACTGTTAACTTGATAGAATAATAAATCCATTTAAAACACACACTAAATATTAATAATCCCAGTGGTAATAATGATGTACATACACCGTGTGCAAAACAATAATGATAACGGTAAAAGTAGTGGGCGCGGTGTGACGTAATTCCACGCACGAGTCTATAAATTTTCCAAAAAGGTGTACATTTGTAAAATTTATATTATAATAAATTACATACATTTTTTTTTCTCATAAGTTTGTTTTATCTATTCTAAATATGACAGGAAAACGGGTGAATCGTGGGTGGGGGTTGATTTTTGACAAAGTTGATTGGTTCAAGATTTGGAAAGGGGTTCTCCGAGTCCTACCCAAATACATTGTACTGATAAAAATTTGCTAAAGTTGTCATTTTGGCATCTAATTTTTTTTTAAAGTTCATCTAAAAAGCTATGCACTAAAATAATAATATTTGTTGTTTTGACAATAAATTCAAGAAGTTCCAATTATGGGTAGAAAATTAACCACCCTCCCTTTCTTTTACACAAATCTTTCAAAAATTCTCTCTTTATCAGACTTTACATTATTAGGTAATATCAGGCTGATAATGAAATATTTACATGCGCGGATCGGGGGGGGGGGGGGGGAGAGGGAGGGGGTCCGGAACCTATATACGAAAGCAGCTAAAAGTGACCTTGGACCACCCACCCCCCTAGAAAACACGGACCCCTGTTAAGTTGGTATGAAAAGTTATACATATAAAGCTGAAAAAGTGAGCAGCCAAACCCCCCTCTCCCCCCCCCCCCCCATGAAATAGGTTTTCACATTTGGGAGAGGAGTTTAAGTTTTGCTTGTCAAGAAATTTCTGGGTTGGATCCCCCTGGAAAAATTCCTGGATACGCACCTGATTTACAATTTACATAAGAGGCCCATATGGGCTGCATGTTCACCTGAGCATTTTATGCTTGATTTAAATGTGTGCTTCTTCCCTGGTTACCAGAATTTGAATGAGAGCAGTCAGAGCATATTTCAAGGACGTAGCAATGTATTTGAAAGGGGGGGGGCAGCCAGAGAAAAAAAAATTCAACTTACCTGAAAAAACTTGACAAGCCAAAAAAAAAAAATTTTCAAAACTCAAAAATCCTATTTCGTGGGGTGGGGTGGGGGTGGGTTCCAACTTCTTTCAGTACCCCAATTTTATATGTACACTACTACATTACCTTTATTTGACTATAATGCAACAAAAAGTTGGGGTTGGGGGGGGGGGCAACCACCCTTTTATGAACATTTTCAATAGTAAAAAGTTATGTTACGTGCCTGCATTTAGAGGCAAACACATTAGTGCGGGTATTACTGTCTTATGACAGCATCTACCGTAGTTAATGATGCGAATAATAAATTTCTAATATATTAAGAATTTGTAAACTTTCTATGATGTTCATAAATCTACCTTCTTGCAACCACCCTTATCAATCTATACTTTAAATCCCATTATTATGAAATTTTGACTGAAAAATTAAAATCTATATAGTTAAACTTATTCATTTTACTAATATTAACATGACGTAAGTTATTTTCAAGATTTTAGATGAAAGTTTGTATCATCTGTCCTTAAATTAACTTTATAGTTTTGATCATAAACTGTAGTTTAGATTTGTGAAATATAGTTTCACTGAAAATTGTGCATCTCCGATACAAAATTAGAGATTCTGTTGTTAAACTGTGTCTCTCAATGTAAAACTGTTTAGCATATTTTTGTGAATTCGGTGCCATTCATCACCTTCGTTAACTATAGTTTAGAGTTGTAAATCGAAATCAACAGTACTGTAGATTCCTTATTTTTCGCGAGTACTTATTATCGCGAACTGGCTCTTTCACGTAAAATCACGAGAACAATAATTCGCGAGTCTACGGTTGATCAAGTGATTTTACATTGAATTCAGCACCATAAAAATAAAAGCGAGTAATTTTATTCCGCGAGTGGTGCTTCTCGCGTAATTACGCGATAATTAATTCCTCGCGCATATTTAGGAATCTACAGTATTCAAGAGTCATACATTAATGTATAATGAAATTTCATACATCAGTCATTAGTTCCATCTATTTGTTGATGTGTTTTAAAAATATTTTTTCAAATCTTGCGACTACTTAATTTTACATCATTATACGAAATATCACTTATTTAGGAGTCACCATCAAACTTGGAACTGTTATTGAAGTATTGTACATAGCTTATAATCATGTATGACAACGCCTACCTTTATCCAGCTGGAAACATCTACTAACCACTATAGATAATGATATAGATATAGTATAGATAACCATATCACCTGCCTGATAAAGCCATGCAACAGTTTATCTCTGTTTCCAGAAACAAGAGGCCCACGGGCCTTATAGGTCACCTGAGTATCATGCAACAACTTCGCCACAATGGATTCATGTTTTAAACCAGAGGCCATGAAATTCACAATTTCGAAAGAGGCACACTTGCTCATCATAATTTTACATTGAGTAAGCTTACTTGATACCCAGAAAGAGAGCAGAGGATTATCAATGAATTAATGCATTTTCACTATGTAATCATTAGAGCCCTGCCCTAACACCAGAACCATGATGCAGGGGCTATAAAATTCACAATTTTGGAAGAGGCATCCTTACATATCATAACAATACTCTTAGTTCATCAGCTTAATACCCAGGAGAAAAGAAGAAGATTTTCAAAGAATTATTGCATTTTTACTATGTAATCATTAGAGCCCCACCCTAACACCAGAACCCCTGACCCAGGGGCCATGAAATTCATAATTTTGGAAGAGGCACCTTTACTCATCATAACTATGCATCAGTTTGTTTGTTAAATACCCAGGATCAAAGAAAAAGATTTTTAAAGAAATAATGCATTATCACTATATATTCAACAGAGCCCCACCCTAACCCCAGAACCCCTGACCTAGGGGCCATGAATTTCACAATATTGGAACAGGCACCCTTACATATCATAACTATACTCTTAGTTCATCAGCTTATTACCCAGGAGAAAAGGAGAAGATTGTCAAAGAATTATTGCATTTTTACTATGTAATCATTAGAGCCCCGCCCTAAAACCAGAACCCCTGACCAGGGGGCCATGAAATTCACAACATAGGAATAGGCACCCTTATTCATCATAACTATGCCTTCAGTTTGTTTGCCCTGGATCAGAGAAGATTTTTAAAAGAAATAATGCATTTTCACTATACATGTATATTCAACAGAACGCTGCCTTAACACCAGAACCCCTGACCCTGGGGCCATGAAATTCACAATTTTGGAAGAGGCACCTTTCATCATCATAACTATGTATTTATTTTGTTTTCATAATATCCAAGAGCACAGAAGAAGCTTTTTAAAGAAATAATGCATTATCACTATATATTCAACAGAGCCCCACCCTAACACCAGAACCTCTGACCCTTGGGCCACGAAATTCACAATTTTGGAAGAGGCACTCTTTCTCATCATAACTATGTACTTAGTTCATCGGCTTAGTACCCAGGAGCAGAGGAGAAGATTTTTGAATAATTAATGCATTTTCACTATATAATCATTAGATACCTGCCCTAACACCAGAACCCCTGACCCAGGGGCCATGAAATTCACAATTTTAGAAGAAACACCTTTCCTCATCATAACTATGCATATTGTTTGTTTCCTAAATACCGAAGAGCAGAGGAGAAGATTTTTTAAGAATAATGCTTTTCACTACATATTCAACAGAGCCCCACCCTAGCACCAGAACCCCTGACCCTGGGGCCATAAATTTCACAATTTAGGTAGAGGGCTCAATGCTTATTACATTCATGCCAACAGTTTGCCTGCTTGATGCCCAGGAGTAAAGAAGAAGATTTTTAAAGATTGCATTAATTCTGATGGTTTTAGCCCCACCCCTCAGGCCCCAGGGGGGTAGGGGTCATGAATTTCACAATTTTTACTCCCCTTCACATATAGATGCTATGTGCCAAATTTGGTTGAAATTGGTTCAGTGGTTCCAGAGAAGAAGCTGAAAATGTTCAAATGTTAACGCACGACGGACGACGGACGACGCACGACGCACGCCGACGGACGAAAACAGATAGCAATAGGTCACCTGAGTAAACTCAGGTGACCTAAAAAGTGACCTGGCTCACACCTTCTCTGTCTGTTTCTCTCTCTCCCTCTTTATTATTATATATGTGAGGTTTTATCCCCTTTTTTGTTTCTCCCTTGGTTGCCTCATGCATAACGACGTAACAATACTAAGCCATAAATAAAAAGAGACTTTTCATAGTTTCTATTATTTTATTTATTTTATTCTTCATATTATGAGAAATTCTACTTCAAACTTCATGTTTGCAATACACTCATGTATTTGTTTACAGAACATCATTAACTACACAAATACAATGTTTTTGTTTACAGGTCTGGACGTCACAAGCTATACTAATAAACACCTATGTATTTGTTTACAGGACTTCACGATCTAATCAAATACACAAAAAGGAATTATTTATTAAAGTACAGTTTTTTCTTCACATTTTGACAAAACTTGATATATACATGTAGTAAAAATAAACACAACGAACAACTTTTTAAAAATATTATTAACAAAAAATACAAATTGCATTGGTGTTCAAAGTCTGATTTATAAAACTGAAAATACATGTATTTGTCATACAGCATGTACAGGGAAAATGTCAATGTTAACCCAATATATAAAGTTGTCAACAACAAGTTTTACCCTAGACAAAAAAAATGAATAATATGCTTAGTACATAAACAAACTCATAAATATAATAATGAGACCAGGTACACATGAGAACATGAAAACAGGTTTAAATAAATTATTTATAGACATGATTGTCTCCATGAATTATAAAAAGTAGAAAACAATACAAAGTCAATAAATTAAATAGGAAAATATCAATCTATAATTGGCAAGTTTGTAATCATATTTACATTTGTACAAACATTCAGATCACAGTCTCCCCCTAGGTTAGGATTGAAGGATACTTCATGTGTTCACTGAAAAATTTTCTTTCTCCAATATATGCTGAATGCCATGGTACACATCCTTGACAAACTTGGAGGGCTTAGCAAGTTCTGGTTCATTTTCAATATCACGATGTCCATGATACACATCTACCTCATCATCAGAGGAATCATCTTCTTCCGGTTTATACACTCCGGTGCCCACTAGGAGGCTCTCCATAGCCAGCACTGTCTGTTGGTAGAGGGCGTTGTTATTTGGGATAGACCTGGACCGCGGTAGGTGGTTGATAATGTCTTCATTATCGATACATTCCGATTGTCTCCGAAGAAACCGGTGATACAGGTTGGCCCCAACGATATCGACGGAAGGATTGTCACTAAATCAAATCCATAAGTTATGATTAAAAAGAGTGGTGGCAGTGCATATATGATATTGTTCAAATCATGAAAAGTATTTAACATAACAAGAATAATGAAAATAATAATGTGATATTAATTTTGGTCGGTACAAAGAATATTAATTACATTGAGAAAGCTTAGGAACAAGAATGAGGAATGGGCTATTAAAATCTTACCCAATAAAGTACAGCTTTTTTATTGGATTTTGTATTCCCAGCTTCTGGGCGACATCTGCAATACAGTGTTCAGCGTACCTGTACGTGATTTCACAAGGTTTCCCTATTAAAGCGGTGTACTCCAATTCTCGACCTGTGATTTTCTGGAGGAAAAAACCTCATTACTAAGCAATTTCAAGGGTGCTGAAAAAGGATTTTTTAGTCAATTGAACGTCATCATAACCATATTTTACCTTATATAGGCTTTCTAGACAGAGGAGAAATGACCCGTGACCAAACCGTGGCATGCAGGCACGGTCCATGAACACCAGATCCATGTTGCAGGCGATAATCGGGAGCTGTCTTACACCCATTATGGAGGATGGCGCCTTGGTGGGTTTTCCCTCCGTAAGGAGTAGGTCAATCAGTAACTGGAGATTAGATTCCCACAGCTTCGGCTCGCCAATCATCAAAATGGCTTCCACAGTTGGGAAAGAAAAATCGTCTCTGTATGTTCCGTTTGCCTAATTACAATTTATGCAAAATTTAAATCCAGACTTATAAATTATCATTCGTAACGCATTAAAATATACCCAGAAGAATTTGAAGTATATGGTTTAATTTTCGTACCACACGTTTTCTGTTGTCATGGTCCACCATATCGAGAAATGGATAAGCCTTCTGTATATCTTCTATTGTACAAACGTTCTTAAAACCAATACTTTTCTTGTTAAAGAAACTTGCATTAATTTATTTTGAATTAGCTCATTCCTATTCCAAAATTAATCCCCCCCAGAGTTCTCATAAACAAACATTACGGACCAAGAGTCGACCCCGTTACATGTAATTGTTCTCTTCAGAGCTGCATGTACTTAGGTCACATGGCACAAATTTGCATATTTTTATATCTTCATTTAAATCGAGTTAAAAATACTTTTGCTATATCGTGTAAACTTTACAGTAAGATCTTTAAAAACAGCTACACACCTTTTAAAAAAAACACATAACATCGTAAGTTGTCGGCCTTATATAAAGCAAGTGTGGCATTTTCCTTTGTTACAATTTTTTAATGTTTCTGTCCAAAACAGAACAGAACAGAAAATGCTAATATCAGACGAGTTCCCCACACGTTCTGGAATGTTTGCATGCATTTTTGCAGAAAGGGGGGTTTTCAGTTCAATTTTGACGCTTTCGTCAAGGTTTCTTATGAATTCAAATCAGGCTATGTGAAAAGAGAAACTATATTGGTATATTTTGCCAGCATAAAGGATACTCTAAGGCAATATCTCTGCGATGTTCCTGACCAATCACTAGCACGTGTTTGTCGTGGAACTCTGTCAGAAGTTTGGCGGGAGTTGGAGCGTGGATAACCATATCTGGTGAGACCTAGAAAATGGTTAAACATTTTTTAATGTACATCTCAAATAAAATACATGATCTTAGCAGAGACCTCTGAACTATTGATTACTGAGTATATAACCAATTATACATTTAAATACACTACAAAGAACAACTTTTTTTCTTTCCATGACTAGCAATCTGACTAAAGCCAGATGTGTGGTAGCGTGAACAAAGTTCTGGTTTTGATTGTATGGTGAGCTTACCTGCATGTTGAACCATCTGATGATTTATCTGGCTTTGAGTGCATGGCAAGCTATAATACCTGCATGTTGAAACTTATGCTGATTTGTCTGATTGCATGGTGAGCATACCTGCATGCTGAACCATCCGCTGATTTGTCTAGTTTTGATTGCATGGTGAGCTTACCTGCATATTGAACCATCTGATGATTTGTCTATAGTTTAGATTGCAAGTGAGCTTACCTGCATGTTGAACCAACTTTAACCATCTGATGATTTATCTGGCTTTGATTGCATGGCAAGCTAATACCTGCATCATTGAACCATCTGCTACTTTGCCTTTGATTGCACGGTGAGCTTACCTACATGTTGAACCATCTGATGATTTGTCTGGTTTTGATTGCATGTTGAGCTTACCTGCATGTTGAACCATCTGCTGATTTGTCTGGCTTTGTCCTCGCTTCTGTTACAGGCATTGGTGACGAAGGCCACTGGAACCTTAAGGTTTCCCTCATCATCTTGTAGGAGTTTGAGGGCCTTCACGGCTGGGTCCAGGGGATTTGTTCCTCGTGCTAACACACCATCCACGTCAAACAGGATTCCAAAGTTTGGCTGTCAAGAAATATTTCGTGAAAAATTTTATCATCTTGTGATATAACATATAATATTAAGAAAAATTTGCATAATATAAACAGAATCTTAACCTTGGAATAATTTCCATATGAACAAGAAAGATGAACCAAATAAGACCCTTCTCTCAAACGATTTGAACACAAAACTTTGAGAAAATGCCTACATATCATTCTTATTCCAACCCATTATATTCACCTCATAGCACCGGAAGAAACAATACCACGTGACATTGTTTACAAACAAAACCATGCCAGCAAGTACGTTGTAAGATTCTTATACAATACCTGTGTGGTTTGGAGCTTTTCCTCCAGGTTATCTGGCAGAAAGAAATCACTTCCACTATCAGAGCCATCTAAAACAAAATAAAATAAAAATACTTCAAATGTAAATCCCTTCAATCGTGAACCAAAAGAAGATTTGAATTCACTGCGTGAGTCCAACATATAATGCATCTAAATGTTTCCAAATCACAAACCTCATGATGAATAAATAAATAAGTAAATAAATAAATGAAAACTTTAGGCAGAACAGTCGATTATATATCACCTGTAGAATATCCAGATTCGTGTCTGATCCTAGAAATCATCATACTTGCAGCTAGAAATGTTTAATTACTCTTTCGAATGTCAAATAAGAAATGGATACGGAGCTGGGTGCTTTTTGGCTTTTATAAGAATTATGCATCGGGGGAATTATACGCAAATAATTCCCATTGGTCGACATCCCGGTCATTCATGACCATGTGTTTACAACTGGGTCAAGCTAGTATCAAACGCCGGTCATTGTGTTCATGAACGAAAATTCCGAAATTATTGTTTACGTTTTCAACTGCGTACCTTGCTGTAGTCGTTTTTTTACACACAGCACATGACCGTGTTTACCAATGTTTACATGTATATATTGTGCGTCTTTCATCGTAAGCTGAAGCAATACATTTTAAGTCTGTGTTTTTTACGTAAACATGGTAATCAATGAATAACATGAATAAGTCATTTTTCAATCAGTAAACTTTCTACGGTGTAAAAGTGAATTTGGACAGAAAGATAAGCAAATTGAGGAAAAATTATTATATGCATAACCGCGACCAGATATTAAGATAATGTATATTTTAATTAAGATGTTGTACATGTACTAGCCAGAATAATTTTGATTTTTTTTTTTAATTTTTTTTGAAAATTTCCAAGTATTTAAGATATATTGATGCAATTGGACTTTGTGAATACGACAATGTACATTTTGTTTTACTTCATTTGAATAACATAGAGAGAATTTTAATTTAGAATTTTTTTCATTTGTTTCCAAATGCCATTCTAAATTCAAACTGAATAAACTTGATGTTGAACTTTACAGATAATAGAATACTTCAAGGATAACAAAACCTAAGGGAGTATATGGATTAGTAAACCAAGTCAGTATTACATCGGATGCACGTTTTTCAGCATGTGAAGATTTGGCGGTCCGGGTCAATCTTAGTTTCTATCAGTAATCACGCCTAACAGGCATGGATGGTTATAGAACCTTGGAATTCCCCCTCTAATTGAAACGAGAGCACGTGAAAGGAGGATGTAAACAAAAGCACGTGGTTTGATTCCCCCCTACTATTGGCCTTTGCAGAGAGACTTTGTTCAGGACATATATACTTCAAGAATAAGTGTACATAAGCCACCAGAAATAATCAGAAATTTGCCCATTTAAATGTAAACAATATTACTAAGTCTGAATAAAGATTCCACGTATAACAAACAAAACACTTATATTTAGTAACAATAAGAACATGAAGATGTGCACTTCATGATCATGTGTTATTGATTTCCATGCTCAGGAGATATACCTCTATAACTTGCATGTTATTAAATAAACCTCCTAATAAAATCTCCAATAATTAATGCTTGTGTGTCTTCATTTCAAACATATTTTATTCAAGAACACACTTTGAATCTAGGTGCACGAGGATGCAGCTCGGTTTGACATCTCAGTTTTGGAATCAATACGTACGACAGATTGCCGTCTCTCTGTGCTCGAAAAGAGTTTAATCAATATCCAAGTATATGTACATGTGGATAAAATTTTGCATTTCTACAGCCAACCTATCTTGGCCCCGAAACAAATGAAAAACAAAAGGTATTAAACAAGAAATGTTTTAGAAACATATATTACCCCCCTCCCCCCCCCCTCCCCCGTGGAATACTTAATTAGCGATGTACATGTCTGTACCGTATATTGTATTTATAAATGATTTCTTAGCGGTATTCATGAATTAGCCATCGTTATCTGCACCAAAGTCGCTAAAATATGAAGCCCGCTTTTTAAGTACACATACAGTATTAAAAAGGGTCAACTTTTAACGTTAGAATGTCTGTAAATGTGTAATCTGCTTATCAAGGGCATGAATTCAAAATCAACAGGGGTCACCTTCACTTAAGGGGAAACCAATCTACCAAGAGCAAATGATTTTAAAGATACTGAGCAAACAATATCTTTATTTATCTTGATAAGTCTGACATTTGACCTTGTGACCTCAAAACCAACAGGGGTTATCTACTCCTTCTATTGAAGGAACCAGTGTACCAAGTTTGATGTCAGTCAAACAAAGGATTCTCAAGATTTTAAGCGGTTAATATATTACTATGTCCATTTTGCCCCTTGATCTTTGTAACCTAAAAAAGCCCAACTGGTGCCATCTACTTCATAAGGGGAATCAATGTATCAAGTTCGATGTCAGTCAAGCAAGGGGTTCTGAAGATACTGAGCGGATGTCTTGAGTAGCTTGACCCTTGACTTTGACCTCAAAATCAAAAAGGGTTCATCTACTCCTTATGGGAAAAAAGCGTATCAAGTTTAATGTCTGTCAGGTAAAAGGCTTTTCAAGACATTGAGCGGAAAACACTTGGTCAAACAAACGATCGACAGGACCCCCCTTTTTAAGGGGGAATGAAAATTGGAATTATAGACTGGGGAACTGAATCATTTCTGGCCCAGTAACTCTAGCTAGAGAGGAATATTCAATAATAAGCATAATTAAGCTTTTACTCATTAAATAGCCCTTTATTTCATGTTAAATACAGGTCCCTTTTACCAATAGTTTCTTTGTACTAACATCGTGTACGAGGGTCATTCAATAAGTAATGCAGCATACAGTTTATCATAATAAATATAGAAGTATTCAATTTCATTTTTTAACAATAGAAAAGTTTTATTAAAGAACTCCAAATCACAGAAAACCCCATGCTTTTCCCCATTGTCCTTGCAAAGGACTTCACCTTCAAAGTAAGCATGGTCACTACACTAGTGAAAACTGTTTAAAAATGATCTCTGCCAAGATAAAAAAAAAAAAATGAGGGCGTATGTGAAAACTGCGTTTCATTACATAAATACTGAAAGACTTATATTAAGATATGATTTTGGTATGTGGAAAGACTAGTCTTTAACTTGTATAGTTTTCAGATGAATTCAGACGTTCAGAAGTAAAAAAAAAAAAAAAAAAAAAAAAAAAAAGAGTTAAAAGATCGCAGTCAAACTGGTCGATCAAAATCTGCAGTAACATTAGAAAATATCGATGCTGTGAGCAACATGATTTCTGAAAATCCCAGATTTTCATTGATATACATTGGTAAGACACTAAACATTTCATCACCACAGCAGTTTACATAGTTTTGACAAAGGAAACAAATCTAACAATAATTCTATCAGATAAGTGCCTTATTTCTTTACAAATGCCCGAGAGAAAACACGCATTAATGTACCCATGGTCGATTTCAAAATAAACATTTTTACAAAAATAAAGTTTTGATAAAGTTGGGTGATGGATGAAAAAACATGTGAGCATTTTCTATAGCCGAAAATGAAGATCAATAATAAAATGTGGAATCAGAGAGAAAGCTGTCGTCCTAATATTGCAAAGAGAAGCAAGAGCTCCAAACATGTTTTATTAGTTTTCTTTTTATTCAAGAGGTCCGGTAAAACGTGTACATACACCCAAAAAATAGGACCATCAATGGTAACTTTTATGTTAAAATTGCACCAAGGAAAGTTAAGCAGATTTCCTGCAAAGGAAGTCCAAATACTGGTCCCCAGAGTAATTTTCCTGTACCTGACAATGCTGCTGCAAATAAGCATAGGAAAATAAATGAAATTTTGAAGAAAGAAAGTTTACAGAGCTTAGCATCCCCCATATTCACTAAATCTCAGCCATTGTGAGATCTTTTTATTCCAAAACGTATGAAAACAATCAAAGAAAGACATTAAAAATTCAGATGTATCATGGGAACTGCTATTCATTAATGTCTTTGGGGCATCCCTAAAGATGAGTATGCTGAGGTTTTCTGGTTATTGATACAAAGACTTGAGGCATGTGTAAAGGTTAACAAGGAATGCTTTGAGGGATTGAAAATATTAAGAAACTACTTTACATCTTTTCTTATTTTTAGATGACGTATTGCATTATTTATTGAATGATCTCGTAAAATTGATTCAGTTGTTTTGGAAAAAAGTAATAGAATAAACAAGCAGTATGAGAATGCGGGTGGAATCTTAACATTCTAGAGTTGTATCTGATACTATTATAATCAAAGTATTCCGAGATTCGAAATCGCACTAGCAGTAGACTTACTATTTCAAATTGCTTAAAATCAAATGTTAACTTAAGATTCAATGCATACTTGTACATGTCAATAAAAAGTTAAATATTGCGTGTATGTAAGGGGAGGGATGTTAATAAAGTATTTCTCGCCTATAAACAGTTTTAGGTCACAAATTTATACACCGCAGAATAACTATAGATATATTCATTTTTAACTATCAATCTAGATATGCGCACTTGTTTATTTACATGTATTTGTTAATTAATCATTTTTTTAGTAACAGTAAAATAATTGTCAAAATACACGCAGTAGTAAATTTTGATAAACAGCAACCCTTTTTGGGTTGTTTTTTTTCTACACAAGGTTATTGCTTGTTATCAAAAATGACACTTATTTAGTTCTGGAATGTTCAAAGATATGCAAAACAACACCGTGTCCAAGTAAACATAAGAGCAAAGAATACATTTTACGTCTAAATTAACTAGTAAAACAGTTGAATTTTGAAGGATTGCAATTTAAATTAAAGTAAGATAGAATTTCCTTATAATGTCTGATACTCAAAAAATATTTCACCTTTAAGGTTAAATGGATCTCTTAGTTATCTGCATTTTAAAAAATGATTTTAATGTGCTGCGAGGTATGAAGTAGACTCCTTTGTTGTTTTAATTGTATTAAACCGTTATTTGAACTATTTTGATTCAGTTTACTTTCAGTTATTATTCAGAGCGACATGTACAGTTGGGAATGCAGTAAACATACAAATTGCAAATTCCTTGTGTATGAAGTTGGGCCATTAACATTTAATTATTGTAATTTGCATAAGTTTAGCTAATAGAATTGCCTTAATTTTTCTACGATATTTTGGGCTTCATTACAATTTACTAGATAGAATACACCATATGTGTGTGTTGTGACATAAAAACCCTGTTTCTGTTCCTAAGATAAGAAATGTACATAAAATTCTTTTCTAAAGTACAAGGACATGAATCTCCGGGGTGTATTACGTGAAAAACAAACGTTAAGTTTATTAATAAAGTTAAAAGTAGTGGCCGATAGTCAAAATAATGTGTGACGCGTCAATATTGTGTCTGCTTGATAAAGAGGCTAT